TGTTATACCAGATTTTTGCCCTCGACAATAACACGATTTTGAGAGCGAACGACACGCTTAACAACGCCAGTCTCACCTTTATCCTTTCCTCGGATTATCATAACCTGTAAATGTAAAAAAGAATACAATTAATCCAATAAGCCCACAACGCAAAGAAATGATGGTGATGTTATTGATATTTTACATTATCTCCTCTGAGTACTTTCCAGTGCCTAATCAGTTTCTCAGCTGCTTTCCACCCCATTTTTCAAATAACAAATCGACTGGTCTTCCCTTCTCTGTGGTTGTGGGGATAGAAACCCTACTAAAGACTAGCTTGCAGCTGCTGGCTTTCTCCTAAGCAAAATGAAGAGATATAATTGTGGTTGGGCTCAGTTGGGTCCGCCTCTTTAGCCAAAAGTTGGGTTTTTTATTACAAGGCAACTGATAATTTGGCGGCCCACCCAAGCTACCAAATCCTTTTTATGTGCTTTTAAACTCCTTTTGAGTTCTTATGATTTAGTCCTTATATTTTTAAAAGTAAGTAATTAGTCTTTTTTTTGTCTTAGAAAATATATAATTAATCCTTGTGTTTTTTATATTCGTTTATATCTTATCCAATTCTCTATTTTAATGTTATTTTTTAATTTATTTATTTTTCTTTTCTGAGATATAGAAATTGAAAAGAGAAGCATGTAAGATGAGAAATTTTGAATGGAAAAAAGGCAGAATTCAGAATAAAAAAAAATGCTAAATTGAGGACGGACAAAATTTTTCAATTGGCTATTTAATTATTTTGATACTAAAAGAATTAATTAATTAATTATGTTGGATAATTATAAGAATTAAGTTACAATTAACTTTTTTTTTTCAGGGTTTAGCCTTTTTTTTCCTTTTGGTATATATTTTTTTTCTATTTATCTAGTGGTTTTTATAACCAGAAGTAAACGATTAAAAAGATTAAAAAGTGTGTTTGTTTTTGTGGTAACTTTCATGGTTTTGATTTGAAAAAAAATAAGTTTAAAAAAAGTGTGGATAACTAAAGTTAGTTGGATTTAGATATATATTTGGTAAAAATTATGGTTGAAGTTTATGTGCAATAAAAAACATGTATAAAATGTTTGGTTGTTGTGTGATAGCGATTGTTTTTCAAAGTGTTTTTTACTTGAAAATACATTAAAATAATTTATTTTTATTTTTAAAAAATTATTTTTGATATCAGAACATCAAAATGATCTAAAAACACCAAAAACTTAACTTGAAGTAAAGAAACAAAATAAAAAATTAAATTTTTTCTTCAAAAGCATTCTTGAAACACAAAAACAAACAGTGTTTTACGAAACTCAATAAAAAAAGCATATAAAAACTATTTCATAAAAATTACATTTCAAACTCAATTTTTTAGTGGATCCACAATATAAAACACAGTTTTAACAGTTATCAATCACCTTGCTGTGTTTTTTGCACCGCAAATACAAAAGCAGCTACAAAACAAACACAGCCAAAAACTTACTTAAAAAGGTGAACAAAGAAGTAGACATATCATAAAAATAAGTAAAAACTAATTACGAGAGAAACATGCCTCCCCTTTCTTTTCTATAATTATCATATTATTTTATTGTATTTTTACTTGAAAATGCATTAAAATAATATATTTTTATTTTAAAAAAATTATTTTTGATATCAGCGCATCAAAATGATATAAAAACACTAAAAAACATTAATTTGAAGTAAAAAAAATAATTTTTTTAAGCGCTTTTGAAATGCAAAAACAAATGATGTTTTACGAAACTCAGTAAAAAAAGTATATAAAAACTGCTTCATAAAAATTACGTTTCACACTCAATTTTTTAATGGATCCCGCAGTATATAACATAGTTTTAACAGTTACCAAACACCTTGCTGTGTTTTTTGCACCACAAACATAAAAGTAGCTGCAAAACAAATACAACCAAAAGTTTACTTGAAAAAATGAATAAAAAAAGAAGTAGACATATCATAAAAATAAGTAAAAACTAACTGAGTCTAATCACATGTTAAAAGAACAAAATTAAAGTAACAAGTTAGGAAAGAGATTAATCATAGTATTAAAATTCAGCCCGACCAGCGGGTGAACCTAGGTTTGGATTTCCCAGTGCTGGAATCGAACCAGGTTTAAAAAAATAAGAGAAGTCAAAAACTTAGGTGACCCAACTAACCCGGCGGGTTGACCCGGTGACCTGGCAAGGCCTAGTCAAAAACCTAGTACAACCCATTAACAATTTATTTTTTAACTAAAATGATGTCATTTTGATTTATAAAAAGACTGGGATTAACCCGGGTGATCTAGTGACTCGATCAAAACCTAATAACTTGGGTCTTAGGTCGGGTCAACCATCGAGCTGGGTTTAAAAACTCTAGGATTAATTAGTAATTAATAATGATCTTGCATATGAATATTTTTGTACTAGATTTCAAAAAAAGATATATGATTGAAGTTTTTCCAAAACTCTCAGAGGGCTAATGAATCGAAATAATATTTACTTTAATATATATATATATATATATTAATGCATTAAAATGATATGAAAATACTTAAAAAAAAGACCAAAATATCC